ACTTAAAGGGGGCTTGTAAGGAAAATGAGGACAAATATTTTAGGAGGGCCTGTTGTGATAGGACAAGGGGTAGCAGTTTTAAATAGAAGGAGAGTCAATTTAAATTAAATATAAGGAAGAATTTTTATACAGTGAGGGTGGTGAGGTCCTGGCACAGGTTGCCCAGAGAAGCTGTGGCTGCCCCTGGATCCCTGGAAGTGTCCAAGGCCAGGTTGGACAGGGCTTGGAGCAACCTGGTCTAGTGGATGGTGTCCCTGCCCATGGCAGGAGGTTGGAACCAGATGATCTTTAAAAGGACACTTCCAACCCAAACCTCTCTGTGATTCTGTGATCTCAGGTTTGGTCCTTCACAAACAAAACCAGCCCTGTGCCCACCAGCACGAAACCTCAACTTCTGCACACAGCGAGATTCATCAAAACCCTTCTGCACCCCACTTACAGAGGAGATGCCAAACACTGGGATGTCCTCCCCTCACACCCTCCTGGCCCCAGCACCTCCAGCATGCTGTGAGCACATGGTGGTTGAGTCACATTTGCTGCAAACCCCCGTCCTTGCAGCAGCTCCTGTTTTACAGCCGCTCTTGCAGCGTCTCAGCTGCCGTCTCTGCACACACAGCTCACACTTCACACCTAACCAGCGCCTCTGCAGCCGCCTGGCTCTCTGCAGCAGCTGTTCAGCTCTGCATGGGGACACGAGACCTACAGCTCTGCCCACCACCACTGCATTTTGGTAGGTGTTTTGGAAGCTGCCAAGGACTTGGTGTTCTTTCCCCCAGCAAACATTCTCCTCCTGCTGCAAAAGCACCCAGAAGGCTCCCGACACTCAGCCCTGGCACCTCCTAAGGCTCCCTGTACAGTTTTGCCCTCATGCTTCCCTGTGGTCCCAATCCCTGGTGCCACAAGAGGAGGAGGAGTTCAAGCTGACAGCCAGATCCATGCAGGAAAACATGCAACAGGAATCATAGAATTACAGAATTGTTTAGTTTGCACAGGCCCTCTAAGATCATTCAGTCCAGCCATTAACCCAGCATGCTGTGTTCACCACTAAACCACGTCCTCAAGTGCCACATCCACATGTCTTTCAAATCCCTCCAGGGATGCAATCTAAACCTCCCTCTGGTGCAACTTGAAACCATTTCTTCTGATCCTGTCACCTGTTACCCGGCAGAGGAGCTGTACCCCCAGCTGGCTGCACCCCCCTATCAGGGAGTTGTAGAGAGTGAGAAGGTCCCCCTGAGCCTCCTTTTCTCCAGACTGAGCTGCCCCTGCCAAGCTCCCTCAGCTGGCTCCTTATCAGACTTGTGCTCCAGACCTGCTCCACGAGGGGCAGGCAGCCCTGGGTTCCCTGGCTGCATGTCTCCATGCTGGCATTGCTCCCACAGCTATAAACACCAGCTTTCTCCTCACACTTGTGTTGCCAGTTGTCCAAACACTAAATCCCAGCCAGGGGCTGTGGTGCCCAGAACTGGTGTGACTGGAGAGCACAGAGCAGTGCTCCAGGCAAAGGAGCACACGAGCCTGGCAGGGTTGTCCCCTCTCCCTGCAGAGCCCACCCATCCACAGCCCCAGCACATCCTTGCCACAAGTGTTTTTCTTCCCATCTCAGTTCCTGGCAGCGTGGGGGGAAAGGAGAGTGGCAGATCCCATCAAGCCAGCCTCCTCCTTGCTACCTGCAAGCACAGTAGCTGAGCAATTCCAAACGGGAAAGCAAATAAACAATTGGAGTGAATAAATACAGCCTCCCGAGCCGACATTCTGGAGGAAATATTGATTTCAAACTCCTGTCCAGTTTGCTTTCTGGGACCTTGGGAGCTGGGCTGGGCATCCAAAGCCACCAGCATCACCGTGTACCCGTGATGTGTCTGGCCAGTTCCATGGCACACAGTGGCAGCCCCTCACCAGCCCCGCCACTCCCAAAGCATCACCATTTAATGACAAAACTGCAACCCAGCCCCTGCCCCATGCCAGCACGGCTGCAGAGGCGGAGAAGTAGGACAGTGAGCCTCTTTGCCAGCACTATATTTCCCTCTGGTCCCTACAGAAATCAGGTTTGGTCTCAAGCCAGCCCAGGGAAGGGGCATATGCTCCAGTATAAGAAGAAAAGTAAAATATTCCTTAGCCCGTTTCAGACCACAGAGACAGCTATAAAACCAAAACTCCCCTCTAAAAGAAAACAATGTCCACCAGGCTCCCGGGGACAGGAGCTGGGAAAGCTATAACACCCCCTCAATCTGAGGCTTTTTCTTCTATTTTTAACCCATACTGTGATTTCTACCTTCATAGAGGCAAGGCTGAAGAAAAGAAGGCAAAAAGCAAACACATAGATGAAACAACACACGTGGAAAGTACCATGGGGCTGATTAGCTTTTCGTGATGCTGCCTACAAATTCTGGGAGCTACGCTCCTAGAGCCGGTAAAATTGTGGAAAAATGGATCTTAAAATCATGATACAGTTACACAGGGGAATATTATAGTAAGCAATTTCTTTGAGAGGTTGCTAAAGTGGTTTTCCTGCCATCTCCCTCTCCCCTGCAGCGTTAATCCGCAAGGACGCAGCCTCCCATTGCTTTACCCCAGTGGGAAAACAGAGTCCCCCGCCGAGCCCCCCAGACCTGGGGCATGTGCTGGGCAAGGTCCATGCTGGTTAGCAGCAGGAGCCTGCTCTGGTTTGCTGCTCCAAGTGATGAAGTTGTTGGCAGAGTACTCCTGTGTTTCCCAGCCCTCTTCCTCCATCCCCCCAGGGACTACATCTCCCCACGGGCCTCTCTCATTTTTTATTAAAAAAAAAAAAAAAAAAAGGCAGAAATCCATTTTTCTTTCTCCAAGCAGCAAAAGGACAGAGCACCCATAACCTCTGCACTCTGAGAGACAGCCCGTGTCCCTGGGGAGGGCAGGAGGTGCCGCCCAGTAGTGCCAGGAACACCATCCCTTGCCACCCCCCAAAGTGAATCAGCAGCATTTTACCATACCAAGGCCCAAATTCTCATTCAATTATAAGCCAAGGAAGGTCCCTAATCTTTTCCATTATAGGTTAGTAATAGCTGGTTCTTTGCAGAGGAGCGGGAAAGGGAGGCACCTTATTTATGGTCCCGGCCATCGGGAACACGGTGACAGAGCACGTTTGCCCGGCATTGCAACTGGTGCCGGGAAGGTTACTTGGATACCAGGGCTGTGGTTGCCCCAGGGGCTCCAGAGAGACCTCAGTTTATCAGCTGTGGTGGTAAACAGGGGGATTCTGTAGGGTGGGTCCTGTGGAGCATAGTTTTCAGTGCTCCCAGCAGCACCTCCCATCCTTACCCTCCAGTAAGACCCAGCTGATGAATCAGCAAATCTCAGACACTGAACTAATCAGTTCCAGCCTTCCCAGCAAGGACACCCCAAGCAACAGGAGACCAGACTTACTCAAACAAACCCTTGAAGTCGATCAGACCATAAACTGCCTGTCTGTGTAGTTCACCATCTCCTCACACACCGCCACTGGGGCTCCAGCACAGGGAGCGCTGCTGCTAATTGCTGCGGGCACCAAAGGATGAGAAGGAGGAGACATGGGGAGCTCTGATAGAAGCAGTTTTACAGAGAGACAGTCATTAACACAAGAACAAGGTGCAGGGAAGGTTGCTGGCACCAGCCACAGGCAGGCACGGGCTGCGTATGGCAGAGGGAGGAGGCAGCAGCTGCCCAGGGCACTGGAAAATCACCTTCCCTGCTCCACTCAATTATGCCTGGGCAATAGGTGCTGTAGTTAAGTCTCTAATCCCATTGACACACCAGAAGCAGACAAGAAATCGACTTTTTTCGGTCTGAACACTCAGGTGGTTCAATCCTGCTTAATTCCCCCGCTGAAGCAGCGGGATTCTGACACCGCCATCTCCTTTAGGAAGAAGAAAACCAAATCCTCATGGTAAGGTCAAGCCTTTGCCATGAACTCTCTCCTTCCTACTCCAGTCTAGGTTTCACAATCCATCTGTCCACACGCACCATCCTGCACCCCCAGAAGTACCCTGGGATGGACTGAGTGGGAGGAAGGGACCCAACACCGGCAGCCTGGTACCTTGGCCTACCTTGGGGTTAAAAAGCAGCCTTTCCATCAATGACAGAGCCACCACTGAGCCACGTTTCCCCATCACATGCCATCCAATTTGCCTCCCGCAGAGCAATGCCACTCTACAAAACTCCGGGCGTTATGGGAACCAGGGTATAAAAACATTCCCGGTGCAATGACGCCAAAATTGATGCTGAAATTAGGCTGGGAACAGAACAGGCACGGTTGCTTCAAGCCCACAAACTCAAACATACTTATATGGCCAGTCGCCCACAACGATGCCGCACTTTGTGATCGCCTGCAGCTTTTTTTCCTGCTTCCAGCTTCGCCCTCAGGTCGCTCTCTGGGCACCCCAAGAGTTTGGCCATCGGCAACTTCAAGCAGCTGCAAACCACAGGAACCCAGCCCAGACATTCCCTGCTCCACCAGCACAAATATCAAAGATTCCAGTTCCCTGTTGGACACTGAAATGCCCTGGACTCCCCAGGGCAGGGGGTCCAAGCCTAGCTCCAGGGCTTTCCCAGGCCACCATGGGGATGCAGGCACATCTGCTGCCTGGTGTACAGGGAGAGCACATATGCAGTGCCCAGAAAACATGTCCCCTCTCATGGAGTTGCCCTGGGGAGCACAGGAGGAGGAGGATGGAAGGAAGGATGCCTCCCCAGGGACAGCCCTCAAGCAGGAGGATTGTTGCAGCCCAAGCTCACAAGGTTTTGCTCTCTGCAATGGGCAGCACTACCCAGAGTTGGGGACTAAGCCCTTAGAGCTCCCTTCGTCTGGAGGAACGTAACACATGCCTCTATCCACCATCTCCTGCCCAAATGGGAAGGACCAACTCCATTCCCATCACAAAGGAAACTCAGGATCTTAGAAGTTTCCAGCACACAGAAATACTGCCTCCAGCTCCCTCACCCCCATGCCCATCTGCCCAAAAAAACCCCAGAGCAACTCTACTCACATTGTACAGGACTGTGGTCCACCCTTCCATGGTGATGCACTGGAAGACGGTCAACACAGCAAAGAGGATGTTGTCGAACTGCGTGATCCCGTCGTTGGGACCGATCCACTCCCGGCATTCGTAGCCTGGGGGGCAACCCTGCACCCCACATGGATGGGGAGGGTCCAGCTCCTCTAGTTCACCTGAGAGCACACAGAGAGGAGGCAAAGGAGGCAGAGGTAAGGAAGAGGTAGGAGACAGCTCTTCCCAGCTTTTTACCACCCAAAGGATGCAAAGTGGGTGCAGAGCCCTTCTCCTCACCTGAATTGTTTGTGTAGCAGGCTCGGTGCAGCTTCCCGCTGTAGAACTCCAGGCCAATGATGGCAAACATGAGGATAGCAAAAAAGAGCAGCAAGCCAATCTGGAGAAGAGGCACCATGGCCTTCATGATGGATTTCAAGACAATCTGCAAGCCTGGGAGAGGAAAGAAAGGGCACAGCTCAAAACACTGATCCAAACCCCCTACCTGAAGCACGTCTGGGTCACATTTGGCAAGAGGAGGACGGTGAGCAGAGAGGAAGGACAGTCATCCTCAGAGAGATGCAAGAAGCCAGCAGAGCCTGGAGGATCCCTTTGGGCAGGAGAACCATGGACAAAAGTACCATCCCAAGAGAAGGAGGGCTAGGTCACAGAGGAAGGCTCCAGGAGGGGCTGTTTCTGGAGCTGGTCCCCACTCCAGTGTCCTAGCTGTCCTTGTCCCACCTGAACTTGGTGGGACATGACTAGTGCAGCTCCATCCCCCTCACTGCCCACAAGGCACAGATCCAGCACACTGCCCTGCTGGTGCCCAGGGCAGGAGGGATGGGAAGACTGGAGCCAGCAGTAGCCTAGTTTCTTTATTTATCCCCATGCCAACAGATGAAATTTTGCAATTAAAAAAAAAAACAAAGAAAAAAAAAATCTCCCCTGAATAAACCCCAGTCCTGAAAGGATCCACCCACTGCCTTCTGGCCAGGGAAGCAGAGTTGCCAGCAGGCTCCACCAAGCCCAGCCTTGTGCCAGTACAGGGAGGGCTGGGCAGGGGGCAATGCCACCCGGGGACACCAAATGCTGCCACCCTAGAGTTCCCACTACATCAGGAGGTTTGTCCCCTCTTCCTTGATTTCACCCCTCTCCCTCTGAAGGACATCAGGGACAGATGCAGACACCCTGAGAGGAGGACCAGGAGCATCCAACTTACTGGGAATGCCCGAGACGAGCTTCAGAGGCCTGAGCACGCGCACGGCCCGCAGCGTCCGCAGGTCCACGTGGGTGTTGAAGTGTGTCCCAGCGGTGGCAAGGATGCTGCAGGCAGACAGGGAGAGAGCAGAGTTATCCCAGGCAACGCCCTCGGCCACCTCAGTGCCAAAAGCCATGTTCTCGTGCCAGGCTGGGGGAAGACACAGGGAAGACCGTGCCCCCGGGCAGGTACAGAGATTCAACACCCCCCAAAGGCCCGCATGTCAGTCAGCCCCATTTGATGCTGGCACCAAAGCTCATGGGCCACTGTGATCAGCCAAAGTGACCCAGGGGCCCCCTCAGCCCCAGCAGTCGCCCACTGATGCCCCCCCACGTGCCAGGATGGCTGGGGGCAGCCCCACATCACCCGTGCCGTGCAATTGCACTCTGGGGTCTCGACACCGCCGACATCGTGCTCGTCCTGGCTGCGAGGGATTAACCTTCCTTCCAGGCAGGTGGCACGTGGAGCAGAGATGGTGCCCTAGAAATGTGGGTCACTCCCCTGATGGTCAACCATGTTCCCCTGGCAGCACCTCCAGCCATTAGCTGCTCTGGCTTTTTCCACACATGGAGCTTCCTTAGAGTCCCACCTCTGGGATTGCCGAGAAGGAGCCGAGAACCTCACATACATTCAAAAATCTATAGTAATGAAAGTTTGATGACCTTGGAAGGCAACCTGCAAGCACAGGAAGAACTCCAGAGATTTTCTTTTAAAACAAAAAGATTTTTTTCAAGCCCATCTCCAGAAAACAAATTGGGGCAGGAGGGGGCTGGTACATACTGAGTCCGGCAGCGGAAACACTCAGGGCTCCTGTACCTGCTCTTGGAACAGGGAAGCTGTGCCTTAGGGATGCTGGCAGAACCCTCTCCCATCCAGGCTTGGTCTCCAGGTGCTGGGTGAGGAGGAGGAGGAGGGAAGATGCAGTAGAGCAGCAGGACATGGGAGAGGAGGGGATGGGGAGGAGAACGGGACAGAGGGAGGCAGCAACCTCCGGGTTGTTTGCAGCAATCCAAAAACCGAGGGAAATTGGGTCATTGTTCCACTAATTCATCTAATTACAGGCCAGAGCAGCTCTCTGGCGCGCTGAGCAATTAGCACTCTTTCTCTCCCCTTCTCCCCGAGGTACGGCAGGTACCAACCTGTCCCTCCAGAAAGGCGGCTGGGTTTCCTAGGATACCCTGGCAGCAGAAATGCTCTCACATCTGCAAACCAGGTTGTTTCAGCTCCTTTTTGCGGTCTCGTCTTCCTCCCTGCCCCAGCACAAGGGGTCAGCTGCAAAGCCTGGCCCCAGCAGCAGCTGGGATGCATCACCCACAACTCCCTGTGTATCACACTGCTTATCCCACACATATACAGGGATCTTTTACCCTTCATGGCACTTTCCCTTTCCCCTGAGCCCTTTCAACACAATCTCCCTGCCCCAGCCCATGACCAGCCCCCCCTACCCACAGGGCTGACGAGAGAGCAGAAAAGGGACTTAATTAAGTCAGAAGCACCCAGGGGGCTGGGGAGAGCTGCACTGTTAAATTGGTTGTAAGATCAAAATCAATAAGTATGATAAAGCACGGCCACTCAGCAGCATGAGGGAGAGAGAAGAGCACTGGCACTTTTATCCCTTTCACACAACCTGCCAGGGAGAGCAGGGTAACCCAGCACTCCTCAAAATGCCAGCATAGAGGACACACTGTGCCAACATCATGCTGGAGACCTCGAGACCCTTCTTCAGCTTTTGCTCCCCACATCCCAACACCTGGTGTGCCACCAAACCACCCAAAGGGGCCTGTGCAGCCCCTGCTCTGACTCCAGTCAGGACTGAGCATCTCCAGGAGGCCAGGGATGCTCCTGGGCTGGACACAGGCCCCAGCCCTTCTCCCGAGGGCTTGCCAGTGCAAGCCCAGCTGGAAGGCTCCTGGTAGTAGAGCAGGATGGGGATCGACAGCTCTCTCCTCTCACCACAGATCAGTGCAAGCCGTGGTCCTACCTGGTCGGATGGAGTGATGGAAGTGGAGCCATCACCTCTCCCAGCCCCACCAGCACACATCCCCTCCCGAGGGCCAGAGCAGCACCTGGGAGCGCCCTGGCTGCAAAGTCCTCCGCTAACCCAGATTTGTTTGAAGGGCTCCGGAGCCATCGCACTCCAGGCAAAGTTCAGGCGATTCCAGGGCACTACTTCCCAGCGCTCTAAATTAGCTGCTAAGAATGGGACTCCTCTGTGGCAAGGTGACATGCTCCTTGTCCTCGCTGGGGGACAAGGGACATCACGAGCTGTTTCGGAAGGAGGTTTGGACAGATCACCAGAGCAAGGCGGTTGCACTCAGACCTGTCTCCTGACCGATGACAAAAGCAGGACCCAGCACTATGAAATAGGTGCCTGCACATCCTTCTGCAGACACAGCCACGGCTCACAATGACAGCGGGGCACTGGGAGCACACTGGGAGCACACACTGCTGGAGCTGCTCCCAGCAAACCCCTCCATCCCAGAGCCTCCCAGCAGGGTCTGACCAGCCCTGGCACCACCTTTACACCTATTAAAGAAGCTGGAAAAAGCTAATCAAGCTCCCAGGCACACGAGCCTGGCTGCTGACTGCTTTTCCCAAGCCCTTCCATGGCTCTAAGTAACAGACACAACCTCTCCCCAATAACCAGGCTTTGCTGGTACAAACAGACACCACCATCACATCACTGCTAATAATAAATACAACATTCAGAACACACCTTGCTGCTTCAGACTTCAGCATTGCACCTGTCAATTGCTTATTAACCCTCTAATAACGCCTACTGTTAATTTTTTTTTAAACCATATCACCCAATTAAGGTTTCTTATAGTTTCTGAGGATGCACAGCCCAGAGATGGGATCGGGCTGTGACAGACCTTTATGCTGATACAGGGTGGCAGCTCCGGTAGAACAATTTAAACCCTTTTTGATCACTTACAATATCCACGTCTGATGTGCTAATAATTATTCTTTATTTTTAGGCAAGGACCCAAACTAAAATTACATCTCACCATCCAAGTTATTTGAAAAAAGCTGCCAGATTTAGGCTAAAAAAATCCCAATGATCTCATACTTTTCATCATATGTACTGGAGGAAAAAAAGAAGGGGAGAAAAAAAAAAGTGAAGGCGTTTTTATAGGTCACCCAGGCAAAGGGGTTAGTTTTACTTCTTCGGAGAAAAGGGGGAAGAGAGACTTCAGGTGGAGAAAAGAGCAGAGAGGAGCTTTTGGAAGGATGCAAATGAGAGAGGAGGCAGGATGGGAAATATATGCTAATCCCCCCCAAAGTATAATTGAATAGTGAGCAATCATCGGCAGACAAAAACACGCTTTCAGGGGAGGAAAAAAAATAATAATCCGATGCTTTGTGTTTGCAAGCAGGATGATTATTTTATTTTATTTATTTTCGAGGCTCCCGCTGGGGCTGACACACCTGCAGGCTTCGGGGCCGGCTGCCGGCACAGCCACGCTCAGCCCTCGGCGCCACTCCAGCTCCCAGCAGCTGAGCAGAACACACGCCCTCGCCTCCAGCAGAAGACCTGCACCTATGGATTTCTTCACCCAGGGGTGCAAAAAAAGGCAAAAAGAAAGAATACTCGTGTTTTAAATGACTCCCTGGTCTTCAGGACTGCGCAGAATAAACTACGAGTGAAGCTCGACGACCCTGCCTACACAAAGTCATCACTGAAGTCAGGCACTGTCCCACAGTACAGCACCCATTGTGCCTCCTCTGCCTGTGCCAGGGGATGTTCACTGCTGGGCTCCCATCCCCATCAGCCCAGCACAGCCCACCAGCAGGCCTCAGGTATAGCACACACAGCTCAGGGCATGCTGAAAAGGGCTTCACACCGGGGACCCCAAGCAAAGGCTGAACACCCAAATGATCAGACTGACCCTCAATTCATCCTCCCACCCCAAACTGAGTATCCCTCAACCATTTCCCTCAGGGACCACTGCTGAGGCATGCACAGACAAGCTGTCCCAGCAAAGGGTGTGCAGGGTGGAGAAGGGGATCGGTTGAGACAGACTAATCTCAGCCCAAAATCTGGGGCAGGGAGGGTGCTGGCTGGCTGGCTGACGTGCAAATTAATATTTATAATTAAGTGGAAAGGCCCCTGAAGGCTTGCACTGCCACCTGACTCTACAGGGGAGACTACTTCATAATTAATACACTGGTCAAACAGCTCACGGAAAGTAAGTTACCTGATGAATTTACCCCATTCTTGCCCTGTTCTGAGGGTGAACCAATCCCTCCCCTCTCTGCAGACAGCACCATACATAGCAGGATGTTCTCAACACTCTTGGGTCCAAATCTAGCTCGAGGCAGGGCCAGTGGGATCAGGTCACCCACCCTGAGGATGCTCCAGCAGAGTGCAGTGACTCTGCTTTGGGGATACCAAGGGATAGGGATACCAGGGGACAAGGATATCAGGTCCAAGTCCTGCCCTCAGCACAGTTCAGAGCAACATCAAAGCCTCCATCACCTCAGCCTGCTCTTTCTAGGTTTCAGGGCCATGACACAAGTGGATTGCCCTGGTGCAAAGCTGCTGCTCCCACCCTTCCCAGCAGCTTTGAGGGCCCTGAACTGGACACCAGCAACTCCCTGCAAGGTGTGACGAGGCTGAATGACAAAATCTGCCTTCACCAGCCTTTGATGAGGGGGATGAAATAATTCCTCAAGGCCACCTCTCCCTGGAACAGCCCCCAGGATTTGGTGCATGAGGGAGTATTCTGCTCTGGACCCTGAGAGCTGCCTCCCTCCTGCCTCTGGTCCCTGCTTCTTGGCAGGTACAGGATTTGGCAGGGAGAGATGATGCTGGTAAAACTGCATTTGCACACACAGGACGTGGTGGAAACTTAAAGTCATTGACAGGAGGCAGGAGAGCCCATCCTGCAAGAGAAATATAGTACAGAGAAGCGTGTACCACAGCAGGACCTGTCTGAACTCATGCCAAAGGAGGGGTCCAAGATCCCAGGGACATGTACCTGGGTGATCCCAACTCCCCACATGAGGATGTGGGGGAAATAACCCACTGTCCTTTCCCTCAAGCCAGGCTTCTACCCTCCAA